TGCAGATGCCATATTTATTCTCTTTTAATGCTGAGTAATATTCCATTTGTGTATGTGTGTGTGTGTATATATATATATGACAGTTTTCTTTATCCATTCATCTATTGAAGGGCATCTAGGTTGCCTCCAGTTTAGAAATTATGAAATGACCTGCTATAAACATTGATGTGGCTGCATTACTATAATATGCTGGTTTTTAAGTCCTTTGGGTATAGACTGAGGAGTAGGATAGCTGGGTCAAATGGTAGTTCCATTCCAGATTTTCTAAGGAATCTCGATACTGCTTTCCAGAGTGGTTGCACCAATTTTCAGTCCCACCAGCAATGTATGAGTGTGCCTTTCCCCAAACATCCTTGCCAACACTTATTGTTGTTTGTATTCTTGATAGCTGCCATTCTGACTGGCATGAGCTGAAATTTTAGTCAATTATTTTTTTATACACCAAGAAAAGAAAAAAAATATTTTGCTTAAATTTTATGGAAAAGTGCTTAAGTAAAACATGATAGAGAGTGGTTATGCCAAGCCCAGTAATTATCACCATGACAGTATTAAGTACTGTTAAAATATTTAAAACTCCTCACTATAACTACATGAATTATTAAGCTAAAATTAGGATTCCTGGAGAGGGACCATGCTCTGAATATTTACTGGTTCTCTTTAAATACACTAGACTTGAGGGGTTTTGTTAACTACAGATGTTCAATTGTTTTATTGCATCTTCTCCCTAGTTATCATGTTAGAATAGTAAAGAGGGAATAAGAATGAATGTTCCTAATATTAATTGTTCTCTTTAGAAATTTCTATATTTTATAAGTTTTTTCCTAGTAGTTTTGATAGCAACAGGTTAATTAACATATAAATGTAATATATAAAGCATGTATTTTTGAAATTCAGTCCCATACTCTCATTATATTTAGAGTTTGATATTGTGCTTTTCTAGAGTTCAATGACAATTATTATCATCATTATTGTAACTACTACAGGTTTATATGTGCTATGGTTAGCACAGGCCTTCTATTTTTGTCAACTTTAATAGATAATATAAAAATTACAGGTATGATACCTATTAGAAATATAACAAAGGTCTTGTGAGAATAATAACCTATTGAAAGGAACCATATATAATTAAATATTTTTTATATTACCATCCAGTAGGTTAAACTATTCAGACCTCCTCTCCTATGGAAAATTCCCCTCTGGTTGTTATGTGCTTCATATCATTTCTGTTAATCACTGAAGTCAACTAATTATTATAATACTATATCTTTTTTTTTTTCATGATGCTGGGGATTGAACCCAGGTCCTCGTGCATGCAAGGCAACCACTCTACCAACTGAGCTATATCCCTAGCCCTGGAATGCTATATCTTGAGCTAGATTTTAAAATAATTTACAAATCAATTTTTTGACAGTTTTTAATATCCTATTTTCTACCAAAGGTTTCTACCTAAAAATTCCAATTCCACATTGCCATTTCATTTAGTTGTTGACTTAATGAGTACAATGGATATATAAATGGACAAATGTTAGGTAAAGAGGCAGGAAGAGAAGGACCTGATTATGGTAGCAATTCTTAGCTGTATCTTCTCTTATTATTGACCTTCGTGGAAAACACAAGATCCCTGTGTCCCTGAGAACACCTACCCAAGCCCTTGGTTTAAATTGAAATCTGCCTCCCCTGATTACAATGCTTACCTCTTAGGAGTGACCATTATCCTCTCATGTTTTAAGAACTCCTCAGTTCTTATCAGAAATAACCTCTCTCTCAATCCCACTACTGCTTATCCTCTGGTAGAAAGATCTTCCTTCTTTGAGGTTTATGCTAGTTAGCTCTTCCACATAATTATTTTTGCTATCTACTGAATTTTTATTCATTAAAGATTTTTAGCACCTGCCTCCCCTCTCCACCCAACGCTTAGCACATTCCTAGGAGATTTCAATGTCCACATGCATGATTCATCCAATGCACTGACTCCCACCTCCATCACCTTCTCTTCTACTCTATCTCACCCTCAATAGTTCTCTATAAAATATCCTCAAAACTGCCCAACCTCCAAAGTCACAAAAATAAATATCTCTGTCCTGATTTTCTAGCTTTCTTTTTGGACTACTCCCAACATAAAACTTCTTCAACTCCGCTGGCACCTCCAACAGAATTGGACTCTCTTGCTTCTTCTATATTTATCAACCCTTATTTTCTTTTTCTTTCCAATTAAGCAAAAATTCATAGCCTAGCTTTATGGCCACTTTCTTGATAAATCCTTAAATTTCTTTGTCACTCTCTACCCTCTTGTCTCACCTAAGTGGAAATTGTACAATTATTGGTTCCCATTTATTCCCACTTATTAAACCTACTGGTTTCTCAGGGATAAAGTTATATAATCAAGTATCTTAGTCACTCTTTTTATTTCTATTTTAATTTTTCTCCACTCTCTTTAAAACTTATTCCCCTTTTGGTCTCAGCAAATGATCTCACATCCTGCCTAAAAGAAAAACAGATCAGCAAGTTGGTGGAATAGAAAGTCCCCCAGTCTTATCTCCCCACAGCAATAATAATTCTGCAGCCATCTATGGATAAAAGTGTCTTTTTGAGAGCTGTGGGACTCAGGTAGGAGAATGTGAAACCCTGGTTAACCCAAGACTTGGGAGGGGGTTTTGAGAAGCCAGACTCACATTCAGGAAGCAGACTCACTGATCATGGTCCCAGCTGCAGACTTGTGAACTGGTATATGGTCCCATGTGGCTGTGACACTGCTACCAGAACCATCTGCCAAAGGACTCAGGAGGGATAGACTCACCAATCTCATGGATCCTTAAATAGAACTGCAATTTGGCTTCATTAGCTCTCAGCTATAGTCTAAGAGTTGTCCTGCCTATCCAGTGACTCATCTATAGATGTCTGAAGACCTCAAGCTCTGTTGTAGAATCCAAAGTAGCCTGTGACTCAGTTCTAGCCCTTCTTAACCACTATCCAGAGCCAGCACTGAATGTTCAGGGAACCTCACAGTGACCCAGCAGGAGTACTTACAAGAACTCAAAGAAAGCCATATTTGTCCACATACCTGGTAACAGGCCCATTATTTGTGAACCCTGCAGTAGACCTTCATCCCAGTACTAGCCTGGCTTACCAAGGATCCCAGAGGCAATCAGTCTATCCAGGGACTAGATAGACCCATGCTGCTTGAAACCCTCATAACAGACTCTCCAACCACAGATCCCACTGCAGACCTTAATGCAGTCTTGTTATCAGTTCCAACCCCACTCAACCACAAACCCAGAGGTAACCCCATGAACTTGGGAGGCCCAACAGGTGAAGGTTTTTACTTGCTGAAGTGCATCTATAAAGACTGGAAGATGTATTTGCCCCTTCATATGCATAGATACCAATGTGAAGCTACAAAGATAACAAAGAATAATATAACCACAAAAAGAAACTAATAAAGCTTCAGTAATGACCCCCTTCCCCAAATACAGATGAATGAATTGTCTGAAAAAGAATTCAAAGTAATTTTTATAGGAATTCAATGAGATGCAGGAAAACAGAGATAAATGACTACACAAAATTAGGAAAATAATATATAAACAAAACGAGAAGTCAACAAAAAAAGTAGAAACCATGAAAAAGAACAAAATAGAAACACTGGAGATGAACAGTACAGTGACAGAATTGAAAAATTCATGGGAGAACTTCAACAGCAAACTCAATCATACAAAAGAATTAGTGAACTCAAAGGTTTGTCATTTAAAATTATTTACTGAGGAGTGAAAAGAAAAAAGAATGAAGATGACATAGATACTATGGGAGACCACCAAGCATACAAACACATGAATTATGAGAATGCTAGAAGTAGAGAGAAAGTGGAACCAAAAGCTTATTTAAAGAAATGATGGCTGCACGGAAGATGGAAGGAGACCCTCATCGTTATACAAAATTACATATAAGAGGATGTGAGGGAAAAGGGGGAAAAAAAGAGAGAGAGAGAAATGAGTTACAGTAGATGGGGTAGAGAGAGATGATGGGAGGGGAGGGGAGGGGAGGGGAGGGGAGGGGAGGGGGGATAGGAAGGGGATAGGAAAGGCAGCAGAATACAACAGACACTAGTATGGCAGTATGTATAAACGTGGCTGTATAACCAATGTGATCCTACAATCTGTACACGTGGTAAAAATAAGAATTCATACCCCATGTGAATCAAATGTATGATATATGATATGTCAAGATCATTGTAATGTTTTGAGCAACCAATAAAAAAAAAAAAGAAATAATGGCTGAATTTTTTTCAAATCCTGGAAAGCATATGGACATCCAAATTCTTGAAGGATCCCAAGAAATATTAGACCAAAGAGTAATACTTCAAAATATATTATAAGCAGATTGCCAAAAGTTAAAGATAAGGCAATGACTGTGAAAGAAGCAAGAGAAACGTCATTTGACACACAAGGGAACATACATAAGGCTAATACTGGATCTCACAATAGAAACCAGCAATGACATCTTCAGAAATGAAGAAGAGAGAAAGGCATTTCCAGACCTACAAAAGCTCAGAGAGTTAATCACTATACAAGCTAGCTACCATACAGGAAGTGCTAAAGAGAATTCTTCAGGTTGAAATTAAAGGACTCTAAATAACAGAATGAAAGCATATGGCAGTATAAACTTACTGTTTCATTTCCAACCCAAATGGTAAGAAACTAGAAATAAATAATAGGGAATTTTGAAAAATTCACAAATATGTGGAATATTAAACAACACATTCCAGAATAACCAATGTGTCCAAGAAGAAAATTTTAAAGAGTGTCTTGATAATGAAATGATAATGAAAACATAACATAAAAAACATGGGATGCAGTAAAAGCAGTTCTAAAAGGGCAATTTATAGCAACAAATATTTATAATTAGAAAAAATAAATGATTTCATATATGCTACACCTCAATGAGTTAGCCCAAAGTCATAATAAATAAGGAAATAATAAAGATTAGAGAAAAATAAATGGTCCCCACAGCACCACGGCTTCTTTTCCTCAGCAAGGCGACAGGGGCTTCCCCTCAGCCGCTGCCGCCCCCGCCGGCCGAGCTCCGCCGCGTCCGCGGCCAGCGGCCGCCATGCAGTTTATGTTGCTTTTTAGTCGTCAGGGAAAGCTTCGACTGCAGAAATGGTATGTCCCACTGTCAGACAAAGAGAAGAAAAAGATCACAAGAGAACTTGTTCAAACCGTTTTAGCACGGAAACCTAAAATGTGCAGCTTCCTTGAGTGGCGAGATCTGAAGATTGTTTATAAAAGATATGCTAGTCTGTATTTTTGCTGCGCTATTGAGGATCAGGACAATGAACTAATTACCCTGGAAATAATTCATCGTTATGTGGAATTACTTGACAAGTATTTTGGCAGTGTGTGTGAACTTGATATCATCTTTAATTTCGAGAAGGCTTATTTTATTTTGGATGAGTTTCTTTTGGGAGGGGAAGTTCAGGAAACATCCAAGAAAAATGTCCTTAAAGCAATTGAGCAGGCTGATCTACTACAGGAGAAAACAGAGACTATGTATCACAGCAAGAGTTTCATTGGGTGTAAGAAAGCGTACTAGAATACGTGCTGGAGTTCTGACATGCATCAAAATGTAGTAGGATATGTGAATTCAGTTTGTAATTATAATTTTGTCAAGTGTGTTATTTATATTTTAGCATTACTTGGAAAGTCTCAATTATATAAATCCTAAAGGATGGTCCCAATTTTTAAACAAATATTTTCATAGGGAATTTTGCTCTGATAATGATCTATCATTGGGGCTTACGATTTATTTTTCATTGAAAAAATTAGGTATTCATTAAATACCGTGAATTTCCAATGCCACTGGCACACAAGTAGAATTTCCCTATGAAAACGAAAGCTTCAGTAAGGAAGTATTTGGGATGTAATTTATTATTAACACTATTATTTTAATTGCTTGCTATTTCATTTTACTATATATTCTGAGTGGGGAAAAAAGGGACAGCTAGCTGTCTCTTCAAAAATGTTTAGAAATTATCTGAGAATTAAAATATAACTGGCTTTTCTTCTTAGATACTTTTTATTTACGGTTGTATAAGTTTAGGAATCTGTTACTTTTTTAATACTTTCCACGCATACTTGTAGCCTTATAATTCAGAGTTCCAACTTGCATAAATACTAAAAGGAGGAGACTTTCAAAACACATAAGAAGTTTTAAACTTTTTAGAGTCATAAACTTCTGGTAGGGGTAGAATCACTTTAAGAGTCTAAAGGGTAAAGAGCTCTCTTCCTAGGAAAATAGACACAGAATTTTGCCTCTAATTTCAGGGAATTTTTGGAGGCCCAGGACATCTCTCTGGGACACTCTAGGGTCAGTTTAAGACCCCACCTCAGGTTACCTTTTCCCCTTGTTGATGTGAGAAACATCTTGTTATATAAGTTTTTAGGCATAGATATGTAACAAATCTGTTTGAAGGGTTCTTTAAAAGTCTATTTTGAAGATGTTTTAAAAATTAATATCCTTAGTCTCAAAGTTGCATTCTTTGGATTTTTTGTCTTTGTAGCTGAGTGAATATTTAAAAGCCTTTATTGCTACTTAAAATACCATATGGTTGACTACTTTTCCCTTTGCTTGGGGAAGATTTTCCTCTGGGATCTCTGCTTGATATAATAAAATCCTGATGAACTCAAGACACTGTGAAAGGAAGTATTCTAATTGAATTTTCAGTTAACTAAGAACTGACCAAATGTCTTACACTGGAAATCTTTTCAGAGTTATTAGTAAATACAGTACTGTAGGATTTTGTAGGATGACAGTCATCATTTTGTTCGTCATACAAAGTTAAAAGATGAATCTGAATGCCTGGGCATTGTTTAAGAAGTTAAATGTTCAGCCATAAACCAAAGAACAAAAGCAAACAAAAACTTAAGTTTTAGGCAACTTTACTGTGAACTAAATGTTCTAGAAATCTGATTGTGTCTGTATCAGTTTGTGTACTGTGTATAAGAATATATGCATTTCTCTTGTAGCCACGTCATGAATATTTTAATGTCCCTGTGTACTAAATGACTACTCATCGAGTATGCAGAATTTCACAGAGGAAATAGAGAGCTGATATACTTATGAAAGAAAATATCCTCAGCTTGCTGACTATCTTGTAAAAATAATAGAACATTTCAGAACCAGTACCATTACAATTGTATTTTTTCCTGTTTGCATTCCTCTTTCCTGTTTTATTTCATTCTATATATGATCTTGATATAACTTATTCCTGTTCACAACTGATTTAAATTCTTCTGACAAAGTATGATCTGTGAATGTTTTGAGTAATATTTCATCTTCAACACATGCATGTTACTATTAATGAACCATTTGTGATTAATCTTATAAGAGGAAAACATGGCAATCATTATTGTTTACCAAAGAGACTATGGCTGAATTACTCTGTCAAAATAAGCAGTGCCATAATATTTAGTTGTTCAGTCTTCAATTGTTGAAGGGGGGTGGGGGGGAACTATAGTGTGATTGTCTTGCAGACTGAGTTAAAATGTTCTAATGTATCACAAAAAAGGGTATGTGGAAATAATACAATAAAATAAAATTAATCTGTACTAGTATATAATATTTAAAGTTAAAACATTCAGTTAAGAAATTTTGTAGTGCCACATTTATTGAATCACATTTGTGTGATATAATGATATTGAACTATCAGAAAGCTGTGTCAGAAAAGTCTCTTCTGCACTATTGCTCAGTGGAAAGCCCTTTCCAAGTATTAATACTGAGCTAATTTATATAGTTCAAAAATTCCAATACTGTTCAATACTTAAAGTTTATATTTTACTATTAATAGTTTTCTAATATATTAAGTCTTCATTTAAATACGTAGTGCTTTGTTAATTATGGCTTTATATTTCTGAATACTAAAATTTTTAACATTGATCACTATTGTACATGCTTTTAATAAAACATGTAGCATATTTTATCATCAAAGGAAAAGTACCAAATCATTCATTATTTTAATCTAGAGAATTTAAAGACTGAGTTAAGTAAGTTTTCATTACACAATAACTTCAGATGATACTCAAACTAGTTTATCACTGAAAGAAAATCTACCAGGAAACTTTGTATTAGGCAGGTAACAAATCAGTTATTTCCATTCTTACCATTCTTGCTGTAATACACTACATTTGAAGCACTGGGAAACATTGATCTTTCATTTCCATTTTTTTCCCCCTTCATCCCGCCCCCTGCCCTGCAACATGTTATTCATCTGGTTTTAATGCTGCATAAATATGCATTGTCTCATGCCTGTTTGCTTTGGATGCTGTGTGCTGAGCTGTAACAAGATGTTGCTTTTGTTATCTGTATACAGCTGCTTGCTTGAAATCAGTAGATTCTGAAATAGCTTTTCTTGCATGTCTAAAATAAAAGTATTGCATGTACTTTGAAAAAAAAAATGAAAGAGCTAGAAAGACAATAGAATAGATTGACAAAACTAAGAGCTTTTATTTTTGGAAAATATAAACAACACTGACAAATCTTTAGCTGGATTAACCAAAGAATAAAAAGGACTCAAATACTTAAAATTATAAATGAAGGATATCACAGAAATAAAAAAAGGACTTCTATGAGCAATTATACACAAACTGAATAATCCAGGAGAAACAGGTAATTTCCTAAACATATACAACTTCCCAAGACTTAATCATGAAAAAAAAAAAATAGAAAATCTGAACAGACACATTTGTGACAACATAGAGGAACCTGGAGGATATTGTGTTAAATGAAATAAGTCAGGCACAGAGAAAAAAACACCATATGTAATTTATGTGTGAAATAAAAAAAAAATAGAACTCATAGAAGCAAGAGAGTAGAGTGGTAGTTACCAAAGGCTGGTGAGAGGTGGAGTAGACAGAGAAAAGGGAGACCTTTGACAAAAGGTACAACATTTCATTTAGATAGGAAAATGGTGACTACAGTTAATAACAATTTGTTACATGTTTCAAAACAGCTAAAAGAAAGGAATTTTTTCACCACAAAGAAATGACAAAAACTTGAGGTAATTAATGAATGTGCTAACTAGTTTGATTGGATCATTCCACAGTGCATACATAGAAATGGCCACCAGGTATATAAAATAGTGCTCAACACCATTATTATTCAGAAAACGCAAATTAAAATCACAATGAGAGATCACTTCATGAATGTTAAGATGGTTATTATAAAAAAGACAAGAAGAAACACGTGTTTACAAGGATGTGAAGAAAAGGGAATCCTTGTACACAGTTGGTAGGAATATAAATTGGTATACTCATTATTGAAAACAATATTGAGATTCCTCAAAAAATTAAAAACAGTACTACTACACAATTCAGTAATATCACTTCAGGGTATATATATCCAAAAGAAATAAAATCAGTATCTTGAACATATATTTGCACCCCCATGTTTACTGCAGAATAACTCACAATGGACAAGATATTAAAATAACCCATGTCCATTAAAGGATAAGTTAATAAAGAAAGTGTGAACACACCCAATTGAATATTATTAAAAAGGAGATCCTATTATTTGTAACAACATGGTTAAACATAGAGGACATTATTCTAAGTAAAACAAGACAGACCCATAAAGACAAATATCACGTGATTTCACTTAACGTGGAATCTAAAAAAGTCCAACTCATAGAAGCAGAGAGCATAATGGTGGTTGCCAGGAGCTGAGATTTGGAAGAAATGAGGAGATGTTAGTCAAAGGATATAAACTTTCACTTACGAGATAAATAAATCTAGTGTGCCATATATGTGGTGATAAATGTGTTAACCTGATTGTGTTAATCATTAGAGAATGATATGTATATATAGCAGATAATCATGCTGTATACTTTGAATATATGCAATTTTTTATTTGTAAATTAACTTTGTTAAAATTTAAGAGAAAGATATAAGTACTCAAATGGAAATGGCCTCACATTTTTACCAAGCAAACTTCTTTCCAGTGAGGAGGCAACTATCTCTATTTTAGGGCCACCTCTTCTGCTTGGCATTAAATCTCATCCCTTCCAACCTTCTTGGAAAGTCATAGAATGGAGTATCTTTCTCTTTCATTTACATTTCTGATCTCTCCCATCCTAACTAGATCCTTTATTAAACTCTCCCTTGATCTTATTTTCTCCAGCTATTATCTTTTTCTTGACTTTCCTTTATAACTATATATAAACATATACACATACTGTCTCCATTTCCTCATCGCCCAACTCTTCTCTCACTATAATCTGTTTTTTCTCCCTCTACTCCCCTTAAATGGATCTCACTATGATCCTCTGATTTCTTTGTTGCTAAATAAAATGGACATTTCTTGATCTTTAATTAACTTCCCCCTGCATATTATAATCTGACCATCTTTCTTTTTGGAAATGTTTTTTTTTTCTTGATTTCCAGAACTCTGCCCTTCCCTGACTCTCCATTCTTTTCTTTCTCCTTTATCAGTTCATTTTCAATTGGTGACTTCCCCTTCTTTTCTCAAAATCTATGTATATTCTGATCCTGTTTCCTATCATAGTGGATGGCAACACTATCCACTCAGTTGCTCAAGCCAAAAATCTAGAATCTGCCTTGTCATCTACATATTCTTTATTCCCCCATATCCAGTCCATCATTAAGTTCCTTTCTTACTACTCCTAAACATCTTTCAAAACCACCAACTTCTCTCTTATTTTTTCTGCTATCTTTCTCATCCAAACTACCATCATTGTCTGGTCTCTCACATACCTATGCTTCCATCCCACACCTAAGACATTCTTAGCTAC